GTTCCGGTTGGGGGAGGACCCCCCGGTCCTACCGGGTTTTCAGCACTGCTTAAAAGTCAATTTCTTAAGTAACTCGGGATAATTATCGCTGCGGCAAATGTGAGGAGTCGTAATCTCAAGATCCTGAAATAATCATAAACAATACGTACAAAAAAAAAAGAGAAAAGAAAAAAAAAAAGAAAAGAAAAGAGGAAAAAAGTTCAAAAACAAAACACAAAAAAGATCCTGAGATGAATGGAGTCAGATCAACAGCAGTTTTTCATTCTGGGATCCAGACTGCTGAACATCTTGGAAGCGGGTCGGAGGTCTGTGTTTGCAGTTTGTGTGTGACATCTCCGTCACCTTACTTCTTCTGCCCTAGACAAGTCCAGCAGGTGCCATTTAGAAAGGCACTGTTTTGCTGTAAAGAGAGAGGAGGATGCAGAGAGGCTATGGCACCAAAAACAGGGAGGGGAGAGGGGAGCCAGCTTGCAGTGTGCCTGGTGGGATGTGGTTGCTACAATGCTAAAATCCTGTAGCTCGTCCCGGCAGCCAATATCTCTTGCTTCTTTTGGGATGGAATGCCGGGGGTGAACACAGAAGCCAGCGGGGAATATTCACAAGCATGTAACCTGCTCTCGTTGTCATCGCTCTCGTCCTCGTCTGATGCATGGCTATTCGAACACTTGCATTGAAAGTCCACTGGCCAAACTGCTTGGGTTGCTTGCAATCAAATCAGAAGTGATGGAATTCTTGAAACAATGGCACAAGTCGTACGGGTGCCCTCCCTGCTCTGAGACACCCCAAATGACAGCGCCATCTGTTAACACTGTGCAGGGAGATTGATGTGAACTTGATTGTGAACGGAATAGCGAGGCTGTTCAAGCTTCTTTACTTCTGTGTTTTTTGGATCCCGTGGTCACCAATGCTCAGCATGCCGTTTGTCTCCTCCAAACCACTGGCATCTCTCTCCTCTCTCTCTCTCTCTCTCTCTCTCTCTCTCTCTCTCTCTGACCTCTGTATGTGTGTGTGCATGTGATTGCCCATCTCTCTCTCTCTCTCTCTCTCTCTCTCTCTCTCTCTCTCTCTCTCTCTCT